TGGGGCCTGTGATATACAATCGAATGGCCCCACGTCATTCCTGTAAGCTAATTCTGTAGGTGTTGCAAAGCTCCACAATTTAGCAGGGAGCTGAGCGGTGAAACACAATTAATGGACACAACTAATTAGAGGAAAATTATGTGCACTTGTTGGCCGAAACTGAATTCCAAATATTATTTCAACTTTCCGCTACAGCCTTGATATGAGAGATTTGAAAGTTGGCCCTAAAAATCTGGATGGAGGGAGTATGAAGTTGGCACATTCTTTTGTCTTTTCATAGAAAAGGATGCCTGAAAATTTGTGAATCGTTCAGGTGAGAAATATTATATCTGCAATAGAATTTTCTTAATTGTTGCAGATGTTTTTTTACCTGTGAAATTGCATTTGGTGCATTCCTATTTCTGTATGTACCCTGAATCTTACCATTAAATTGTTTCCAATGCTCAAGACTTCTGTTGAAACTTTGCAGCTGGATGTGCAAATGGTAGCTGTGTTATCTGGGACTTTGAAACAAGGGGACTTGCAAGAGAATTTCGTGATAAAGATTGTACTGCACCTATAACCAGTGTCAGCTGGTCTAAGTATGGTCACCGTTTGCTTGCCTCTGCTACTGATAAGTCGCTGACACTTTGGAATGTGGTAACTGGGGAAAAGATTGCCCGCATAACTCTTCAGCAGACTCCATTGCATGCCCGTCTTCATCCTGGTTCATCCATCCCATCTGTATGCTTAGCATGTCCTCTCTCTTCTGCACCTATTCTTGTTGATTTGAATACTGGAAGTACCATAGTCCTTCCAGTTTCTGCATCTGACAGTGGTAATGTCCCTTTACCTAATTCACGTAAATTTTCGGATGGTTCTCCTCCTTTTACACCAACTGCTGCAACGTTTGATAAGAATGGAGAGCTGATATATGTGGGCAATTCCAAGGGAGAGATATTAATTGTAGATTCAAAAGGCATCCAAGTACTTGGGTTAATTCCCATCCCAGGTGGAACAGTTGTTAAGGACATTGTTTTCAGCAGAGATGGCCAATATCTGCTAACGAACTCTAATGATCGTGTCATTAGAGTCTATGAGAATATTCTGCCCATTAATGGTTCTGGGAAGGAGATTGAAAAAATAATCACCAACAACAATAATGACTATGAAAGCAAGTATGAGAAGCTAAAAGCAAATGGTGCACGCTGCTTAGTTCTTTCTTGCGAAGTCTCAGATGCCATTGCAAAGGTACAGTGGAAGGCACCATGCTTCAGTGGTGATGCTGAGTGGATTGTTGGTGCTTCTGCAAGCAAAGGAGAGCACAGATTGCACATATGGGACCGAGCAGGGCGTCTTATAAAGATCCTTGAAGGTCCAAAGGAAGCTCTCATTGATCTCGCTTGGCATCCATTTGATCCTACAATTGCTTCAGTGTCTGTGGCAGGCTTAACATACATTTGGGCAAAGGAACATGTAGAGAATTGGAGTGCATTTGCTCCTGATTTTATAGAACTAGAAGAAAACGAGGAATATGTTGAACGAGAGGATGAGTTCGACATAAATGCATATGCAGAAAGGGTGAGTGACGATTCATTTCTTGTTTTTCTCAGTTGTTTGTAAAATGAAAGCATACACACATCTGGATTAATCCAAATCTTCTATGCTGCAGGTTGAAGAACTGATGATAGATCAAGATGCAGAGATTGATGTTGAAACATGTGAGAAGAACTCACCATTCAGTGATTTTGAGGACTCAGCAGACGAGATCATCTACTTGCCTGCTATTCCTTCCCCAGATGCTCCTGATGAGCAGCCAGACAAGTGCCTAGTAAGCTCATCAAAATTGGAGGACAGCAATCATTCTGGTTCCCCCCCATCCTCAATGGATGCTGTACAGAATGGTCTAGCCATTCCTCCCGCATCTAGTCCATTGGAAGGTAAAGCTGTAGACTATTGTAATTTCTCACTTCAGCAGTTTCTCATTTTGTGCCAGTTATGATTTGTTTTTCAGTCGAAATCTGCCAGCAGTGTTGGTTTATTTCCCATCGAACACAAAAACCTGCAGAATATCTCAAATAATAGCGCACCCATCTGGATGAGATGTTAACATAAGTTGGTCTTCACATTACTTTAAAACCAAGTTGCAGCAGTGCACTGATTTTGTTGTATAGGTGTGACGTAAACCTGGAGTTATAGGCACACACACAGGGAAATATAAGATTTATATTATCATACATACAGACTATATAATGTTGAACCTGTATTGATGAATGATGATGTAATCGTAGCCAGGAATAGAATCTTGAAAACCTGAACCTTCTGACGTTTGCTTAATGCATTTATGGTTAACTGTTATCATCCTTCCCAAAATGAAGTACATTCTTGGTTTTTTGTTTCCCTGGCAGTTGTTGACAATTCCATGGCCGAAGAGCCATCAGCAGAAGCGGCAAACGCGAAGCGGAAGAGGAGGCTTTCAGCCAAGGGGCTGGAGATGCAGCAGGCTGAGAAGGTGAAGAAACCACCAATAAAGATGTCGTCCAACGGCAAGCCGTCGAAGCCCAAGAGCAAGCCGGTGGTGGAACCCGTCAACGGCAACAGCTCGGCCAAGATCAAGCAGCAGGTGCCGGAACCTGTCAACGGAAACAGCTCGGCTGCCGACATTGACGACGAAGCGACCGAGGACGATGAGATGTAAGCAAGCAGCGTTTGACGCTGATGGCCAGTGCTGTTAATTTCATGCTGCCCTGACTGAAAGCAACGGTGAGGGCGTAGAGATAGGGTTATCACCTATGTTAATTAGTGTTCCCGTAGAAAGAAAGTCTGTTGTGGTTATGCCGAGACATGATAAACATCGTTTGCATATGTGCTGTGTGTAGTCTGAAGTCTGCTGTCGTTGCATTGATCTTGCTGTGTGTAGTCTGAAGTCTGCTGTCGTTGCATTGGTCTTGAGGTGAAGAAACCTGATCAGTATGGACCATGGTTATGCTTAATTCCTTTATGCCTGTAGATCATTGTACTCAAGTTTATCGTTAGGTTGCGCCCATGGGTTGTGCTATGAGCCTATGATTGCCGTATCATGTGACTTTACAGGTGTGAGATTGTGTGGGAATACCGTTGCCAATTGCATCCATCATTGTGCCGTCGATTGTACTACTGGATGCTGGAAAACGGTATTAGTAGTACTGATCATGCGGCGGTCCGTATATAGAATCTTTGTCCAGTTGTGGTCATATCATTATTGTAGGCTTTTGTAGCATCAAGTCTTATTATCTTTGTTGCTAAAGATGAAGATCTGCGTGCAATGCAAGCCAGGGCACTGGTGGAAAGTGGCAAATGTGCCAGTAGAACTGTACAAAACAAATTAGTAAAGCGTGATGATAAATAAAAGTATATAAGAGAAGGGAGGAGGGTACCAAGCTGATGAATAATTGGCACATCCAAATCTTAGTCTTGCAATATTTGTGTCCCTTAACAACAGTATAAAAAAAGATGATACTCCCTGCATCTCATAATATATTATGAGACGAAGGGAGTATTATGTGTGTAGTCTCTTTGTCCGAAAAAACTTATCCCAATTTTGTCTTTTAAATGTACTCCCTTCATCCCAAAATTCTTGTCTTAGATTAGTCTAGATACAGATGTATCTAATACTAAACGTGGCTTGATACATCCGTATTTAGACAAATTTAAGCAAGAATTTTGAGACGGAGAGAGTATGTATCTAGTACTAACTTGGTGCTAGATACATCTATTTGAGGGTCCCAATCTTATCTTTCAAATGGATGTATCTAGTATTAATTTGGTGCTAGATACATCCATTCTAGGGACAATTTTTTTCGAGCGGAGTGAGTACATACTAATCAAGGAGTAGTTCTTTTTAGTTTGTTATTTGAACTCTGAATGACTCCCAGGTTGGGGTTGCCCTTTGAGCCCTTCTACAACCGGAAAGCAGGCCGCTAGACAGAATTTGCTCATCATGTGCGCGCCTAAAGCGCACCGGATGCCAGTTTAATAATGCAGGCATGACCACTTTTAGCAAATTATTATTGGTACCATCTGACTATAACATACCCAAAGGGATCACTGTATCTAACCTAACTGGGATACGTGCCAATTGCGTGTACGATCGCTGCATATTCATTTCTTCGGTGGATTGTTTCAGGATCATGCTCGCCACTTGGCTCTCGCTTGCTTGCTAATCATGCATCTGGCGCCGGCTTATGTACTGTACAGTTAGTATATGCTCCCTAGAATCCTAGATGATGACTGATGATTAAGATTATGTGCAAGTAGACCCGGTCCTTCTTTCCCCTCCCGCAAAGCGACTAGGGCAAAGTCTTCCTTCCCTCGGTCTCCGTCGACGAGCCTGTGGATTCGCCTCCCTTTCGTCAGCCAATTCAGCGACAGGTGGCGAGAAGGGGATTCCTGGTGTTCTCGACTCCGGCTAGTACATAGGTTCGGGTTTTTAGTGCAAGCATGGGCGCCGCTCAGACGGATGATGGTGCTTCTTTTTTGAGTCAATCTTCCGGGCTCCAATCCTCCTTAAATTCATCGGGACGGATTAAACGGAGCTCTTGTGTAGATTCCCGCTAGCTCCTCGGGGCGGCGAGTTTAGGTTTCTCTTGTGCATGCGTGATGGCGTGATTTGGTGTTAGGTTCTTCGTGATTCAAAGGTTTAACAACGGCGACTGTGGCTCCAGTGCACTGGTCCTTTAGGCCACGTGCATGAAGACTTTCCGACTATCATCGACAAGGCCAGACTGGTTCTGCTATGGGAGCGACAACAACAGCGCCTCGGCGGTTCATTCCACCGGCGGCATTGGTCGTTAGGTGGTCCAAAGACCTCGATGTAATTTTTATTACATTTGGGATGCTTTGTACTTCTGATAAACCTTTCCTCATGTATAACAGATCTAGGTTTTTTTTCGAGAAAATGATGCAAGTATGGACCTTTACAGCACACTTGCTCATGTGCTTAACTAACTAACGACGCGATGCATAATTGCATTGCATGCATGGACAGACCTACCGCATACGACGAGCTAGGGACGAGGATTATTATAGCTTGACTGGGCAAAAGTTATAGTTTCATACCGAACATTTTGCTGTGCACATGCTACCGTTTTCTTTTATTTTCCTTTTCTTTGTGACCAAAGTCTCGTCACGGAAGAGAAACTCCAAATATCGGGTTAACAGTTTTTTGGGTTTATTACAGTTTGTTTGTCCTTCCAAAAGCAGTAGTGCACATAACCTGGCTGTTCTATTCCCAGAAAGGAATAGTCATTTCTTTCAAAATGGTGGCTTCAGGCTTATTGATGTATCATCTTGTATGGTCTTTGTGAATAATTAATAAAATGGCTGCGTGCATCGTCCAGATGCAGAGGCCGGGGGTACATCCCTTTTCTAAAAAAAAATTCTTTCAAAAGTTGGCAACGTTGGACATTTGAATTATGTCGGAATCCGCGAGTGAAATGTTCTAATTCCAGGTAACTCACCACCAGAATGTATTATTGTGAGTACCAAATCATCGGCCCAAAAAAAGTCTCAAGTCAAGTAGGGCCCATAAAATTTGTGGACAAAAATGTTATTCCAATCAACATTTCATTGGTACAAAAGGTGAGCTGTAAAAATGTTACGGAATTAAAATTGCTCAATTGGAATGAGTGGGTTTTATAAGAGTTTTCAGGGGACTAAATAATTATTCTGGAAAGCTATGGTAAATAGTTTTTCTTTGAAATAGATTACTAGTATTTGAGTTTTGAATACCTCGTATGTGATCAAGATTGAGAGAGCATTTACCGTTATTGTGTCACTGGAGAGCATTTACCGTTATTGAGAGAGCACTGAAATAAATAGTTTTGATTACTAGTAACTGGTAAACAAATTGTGTCACTGGAGAGCATTTACCGTTATTATTACATGTGAATCTCAACCATACGTTTCCTCTAAAAAAACCATACATGGGCCTATGCTAATTCAACAACAAAACATTTCTCCCGCATTGGTATACATATTAAGGTGTAAAAAGATAAAAATTGCATAACTGTTAGTTATGCAAATCATAAATACACATGTTTAGTTTTTTATTACAATGAGGCATTCCTAAGCATGAAATTGCAGTATATCCTTTAAAAGTTAGAAAAAGGTATGTAAATTAACAGCTCAAAGCCCACACACATACACCATTCCGAGGCACTGCCCTAATTGGAGATGCACATGCTTGCACACACTAAGATGACACACAAGCACACACCCAGAAGAACCTCACCTGTCCTCCCATTGTTTCTGAGCTCAAGGCCCCAATTGAAAGAGAATATGGGACATGAATTTCATGGAGTTTCTCCCAACAATAATGTCGAAAATGAGGTGAATATGTAATTAGTTGTTATTTAGAAACAACTTTCAACCACAAGTAGTTCCCATGAAACTGTACCCTCATGCCGCACCGCCTTTTGTTCCTCTCATCCTTCTCTAGTTTGCATTGTAGCACACAATGCATAAATGACATGTTAGATATATTTAGCCATGCTCTATTAGTTACTAGATCAAAACCTTATGTTTGTGTTCTTGTCATATAATTGTTTACTGGACTTTATGTGTCCATGATGTGATCTACCGCTAGAAGACATCAACAATGAAGCAATGCCAACGCCGAAAATCACATGAGAGCGAGTATGATGCAAATAAATACCACTGCCGAGATGAAGGCCCGGTGTATATATATAAATATCATGGATAATCTACTATAGAAATACCTTCTGACACCAAATGGTTGTCAAACTAAAATGAAGATTTCTGATTTTTGGTGATATGAACTCTCATGGCCGATGGCATTATGTTGAACCATCTGTGGCAATAAATAGCAATCTCTTTTTCTTTCTAAAAGAAAATGTAGAGTTGTAAGGCTCGCCACGCGCCCACGCATGCTTAGGATGACAAAGGCTATTTTTGAACGCTGCTACTCCCTCCATTCGGAAATACTTGTCTTAGAAATGGTTGTATCTAGAACTAAAACAAGTCTAGATACAACCATTTCTAGGACAAGTATTTCCGAACGGAGGGAGTATTTGATTGTGCTCAACTTTGTGGAAGTAACCATTGAACATATATTGCCCGTGCGGCCGTGGCAAGCCAATGCGGCAGATCATTCTCTTGCTAAGTCATGTAGAAGTTGATCACGTACATAGAATGCAAAGGCTACAAGTGACTCTTCACATCAAAATATACAGCGAATTCAGCAACCACTCTCGCTCTAGCTAGCCAGCTAATGACCGAAATGAAACTCTAAGTAGCTTAGAATGGATCGACGACCATGAGATAACAAGGCTGTTTACACTTCACATCTTCTTCCTTGGGGCCAATCTGCTGCTCCAAGTCTCTTCTGCCATGATCGGCAAACCGCTACCTGCTTTAGTTGACAAGATTTGATCATTGTGTGTATACCAATCAACCTCGCAAGATTAAAGATAGGTGTTGCACACGTAAAGTAAGTACGTGACACACTAGCTAACCTGATCTACAAAACCTCAGTTCAGTGTCGTAGAATTCCTCCTCGCTTCCATCACGATCACAATCGTCGCCATCGTCATCTTCCTCGTCGTCGCCATCATCGTCGCCGTCGCTGCATCGTGGCATGGGATCATCGCTTCCTACGCGATCATCCCTTCCTACCTTGCCACCACCTGCCGACACGCCGGCGAAGAGCCCCGCCACGCTCATCTGCTTACCAATCATCCTCGCGACGCAGTACGGCAGCTTCTGCTTGTTCGCGCCGCGCGCCGCCGTGGGTTGTCCCCCGTGCTTCCGGTGGTCGATCCACGCGCCGGCGAAGGCCAGGCAGTCCAGGAGGCTCTCCCTGGCCATGCCGCCCTTCATATCATACGCCTGCGCGCGGCGCCACAGGCTCCTGGCGTGCGCGTTTGCCGGCCGCGCCAGCGAGAGCGCGCGCGTCGCGTCGCTCGCCGCCGCGTCGGCCTCCCGCCGCGCTAGCCAGCACTGTGCGCGGTTGCTGTGCAGAACTAGCCGATCCCGCCTCCCGCTCGGCGGGCAGAGCTCCAGCGCCTCCGTGTACAGCTCGATGGCCCTGTCCACCTCGCCGTGCCAGAACATGCCGTTGCCTTGTCTCTTCTTCTCCTTGGCCAGAAGCTTTCTCTCGAGCAGCTCGTCCCGAGACATTGCCTCTTCCCTCTCCTTCCTCTCGATCTTTACCTCGCGCAAGCTAGCAACTGCTTCCTTTGCTTCCGTGCCTAGCGCACGGACACGTAAATGGCCGTCGTCGTCATCGTTAAGAAGCAGCGCGCTTGTTATGGCATCGCCGAGCCGTCGCCTTGGACCAAGGCGCCGGAGCTCGGCCAGGTCCACGAGGCACGGCGCTGTAGCGTCGGCGACGGCGTGCCAAGTTTCGGGGTCGTCGAGGAGGAGGAGCAAGCAGTCGATTGCCATGTACTGCCAGTCATCGGACGACCGCACGAGGTCGCAGAGGCCGGAGAGCGCGTCTGGGCACGCCGCGATGGCGCCGCGGCCGACGGCACTTCGGCAGAGAAGACGAAGCAGCCCGACGCCGGCGGGCGAGTCGCCGTTGGCCAACCCGCCCCACATCCGGCACAGCTCGCTCAAGAAGCCGGGGTCCTGGCAGATCGTGGCATGAGATGACGGGTCTCTAGAGGCGAGGCAGCTCAGGAAGTAGAGCGACCAGCACTGGAGCTGGCTCGCCCATTCCTCGGCCTTCCGGTCCTCGGCTGCGTCGATGCTGCCACCGGCGAGCCCGCGCGTCAAGAGGTCGCGCTGGTACTTAGGACGCTTGCTCGGCGCCAGCGCGACGTAGTTCGCGTACACGTCGCCGATGCACGTGGACGCGGCGCGCACGGCGAGCGGCACCGCCTCGTCGGCGCACCGGGCAACAGCGGGGAACGTGGCGTCGTAGCTGGCGAGGTGGCCCAGAGCGCGCGCGGCGGCGCGGCGCTCGACCCACGTCATGGCGCCGCCGAGGAGGGCCAGCAAGGGGCGCACGGCGCCGGCGGCCACGGCCAGCTCGGCGTGCGCGGAGGAGCGGATGGTGTAGGAGCCGAGGACGTGGGCGGCGTAGTAGGGCACGCACGCGTTCTGGCCGCGGCAGCACCACGCCGCGTCAGCGAGCGCGCGTGCGAGGAGGAGGGACATGCACCGGATGGCGCCGAGCGACGGGAGCTCCGGGTCGTCTGGCGCGTCCATGGCCGCGCGCCACACGGCGGCGACCGCCCCGCCATCGTCGTGCTCGCTGTAAGGCAGCTCCCGGAAGAAGGCGGCGACGCTGGCGCGGCGGAGCCGCGCGTCCGGCTGCTTCATGGCGCAGAAGAAGCAGCCACAGCTTAGGCCGGGGTCTTCGGCCTCGTCGTCCTCCTCCTCCTGCTCCTCCTCCTCCTCCACGATCTTGGCCATGGCTTTGGACTTGCTCTTGCTAGTGCTAGATTGCACGTTTCTGGTGGTTACCTCCATTTGGATGTGGTGATCTTGCCTTTGGTAGTTTGGTTTGTTTCTTGCGCTTGTGCAAGGGTAGAAGGAAGAGAAGCAGTGAGAGAGTAGGGTTTTGTAGAAGTGGGGGACATGATGCAGATGCACAATCAGTCAGTCAATTAGCACTGGATTTTTAATGCTCTTGTTAACTTCTTTTCAGGGAGATGGAACTGTTCTCTATGTTCAGCAGCCGGACGGGATGAACTTTTCAGATCATGTTGTTACTGATGTTCAGGGTTAATATATTGCAGACTGCGAACCTGAATTAGTACTCTTGAGTTCATTGTTCGACACCTGCATACACACTTCAGTAGTACGAGGTAGCTAATCTTTTTTCGAATGTTGAGCAGGTAAAGGTTAGTGCCAGATGTTAACAGCAGCAAGGCTTGAGTAACACAAGTTAAGTTGTTGGACAAGAGTCCCTAAAAAAAGCGGTTGGCCAAGGGTTTACTTGTTGGACCGTAGCAGTACAGTAACAACAATGGAGTCAACAAATCTGAAGAGATAAACCTATCCTGAAATTCGGACATGATTGTAAACCATAGACAGTGGCACTCAGGTGGGTCATTTACCAATGTTGTAAGTTTAAAACAAGTTTAGTTTGGTTTCAGTTTCTGCAACAACTGCAGGTTTTTTCCCGGTCAGCTCTGAAGATCCATGACTCCTTTCTCTGTCACGAGAGAAGTGCATATTTCAACCTCAAACTCTTGCCCTAGTCTAATACTAGTCAAAGTGTACGTGCAATGCACGTTAATTTGGAAGTATATTAAGTGCATGTGGATATTAAGTAGGATATTATTTACGTGTTATTATGTGATTAACACTATATTTGGCATGAAATTAATTGCACGTTAAATGTGTTGAGCGCTCGACATTGAAGCAGTCTAGGTCGTTGGATTGACATGATATGATGGCCGAGATTAATTGGATCTGCCCATTTGAATCTTTTTATATTGTTATAGATTATAGATATAGTTACAACCCTGAACTGTGAAACCAGATTTTTCTTTTTTTGAGATTAAACTATGAAACCAGCTAAGAAGCAATCCTAAACTCTTAAAACCGGCCAGCATTCAACCCTCCTATCCACACACCCTAGTTTTGACCCTGCCAACAAGCCACATTAGACAAACTTTCAAAAAAAAAAATCAAATTTTCTGAAAAATGGAAGAAAAATTATGTAAAATCCAGAAAACGATTTTAATCATTCTGGGAAAGTTTCAGATTTTTTTTCTTAAAATAAAAAGTACCATCAAATTTCTTTTTTCCGCTCATTTTTTTTGCCAAATTTTGTCAAAAATTCAAAGTTTCCAGAAAAAATTCTGTAAAATCAAGAAAACAATACTGAAAATTCTAGGAAAGTTTCTTTTTTTCTTCAAATAATGAAAATTACCATAAAATAAAATATGTTTTTTAAATTTTTAAAATTTGGAAAAATTCATTTAAAATCATAAAAAGTACTAAGCATTATATGGAATTTTAATATTTTTTACAGATTTTTTTGAAATTTTCTAGAAATTCAGAAAGTTTGACAAAATTTGGACAAAAAATTGAAATTCAGCGTTAATTTTCTTTATTTAAATCAACAAATCATAAAATGTCCCAGAATACTTAGTATTTGTTTTCTTGGTTTAAAAAAAGTTTTTGAATTTTTCTGGAAAGTTTAATTTTTGACAAAATTTGATGAAAAATTGGCAGAAAGAAAATTTGATGGTAATTTTCCTTATTTTAGAAAAAACCTGAGACTTCCCTAGAATGATTAGAATGTTTTCTTTAATTTTTTGGGAAACTTTGAATTTTGATAAAATTTGTGATGACGTGGTTTGTTGATGGTCTTGCTGACTAGATGGTCAACTGGTCAATATGGGAGGGTTGAATTATGGCTATTTTTAAGAGTTTGGGGTTTATTCTTAGCCGGTTCCATAATTCAAAGTTGTATATTAGACTAGGGCAAGAGTTTGAAGTTGAAATATGCACTTCTCTCTTGGATAAAGGTTTCATTAGAATTTATGCCAGTAGTTCACACTAGATGTTGGAAGAGAATGTGAAGAATTATGGAAGCCTTAAAATATTTTTGATTGATTGATCTGACCTTCATATGGGGCATATATAGACTAGAATGTGAGCAAGAGAGACTTGAAACACAAAACAAATTGCACTGGGTTTAAAACCTTTCCTTTCTCTTCCTGGTATCTCTAGCTTAAAAACAATATACTACTCTTGGTATTGTTTTTTTGTGTCAACTCAAAACAATATACTTCTAGTATCAAAGAGGAGTGGAGAGGGCTACCCTCATGACACTGTACACACTAGGGCTTCTTTAAATTGCAGGAACTAGAAAATGTGGATTACAAAAACAATATTGAGATGTCACGAACTGTGAATTCCTTCCGGATCACGAAAAATAGAAAAAAGGGGAAATTGTTTCTCTCGGCGTGCACAATAATTAAACATCGAAATTTTGGAGAAAAGAAGAAATATATCTAAAAGAGGTGGAGAGAAGTGTATTTAAGTTCTAAAAAAAGGAAAATGGTGTTTGAGCTCATGTTAAGATTGGGGGAATAGGAATGCATGTTATAGGATTCTTTTTTTTTGAATATCAGTACGGACACAAGCGTTCATATACACGCGCATACACTCACCCCTATGAACGCACATACGCACACCCTACCCCGATGAGCACCTTTGAAAGACTGAGCCGGCATATCACCTTCAAATTTACGAAGTCGCCGTAGGCACCTTGTCGTCGACGGGAACGTCTCCTACCACTGAATGCGCATCGCCGAAAATCCTGAAATAAATTCAGGAATAAATGCGAGCACCGGGATTTGAACCCTGGTGGGCTGGGGATACCACAGTTCCTCTAACCATCCAACCACAGGTTGGTTCGCACATGTTATAGGATTCTGGCAACACCAACCATATAAACCAAATGACACCTATATACAAAAATTCCTAGATAATTGATATCCTTGAGACTTCTATAAAAACAGTACAATCCAAAGAGGCCCTAAAAAGATAGTTGGATAAGTGTATTCTAGCCGGTTGGTAAATTACTTTTTTAAAGGAGGTTGAAACCCCGGCCTTGGTAAATTCTTATTATATTATTGAATAAAGCCTGACAAAACTAATCCATGGATCAATCCAAAGCTACCTTTCTTGCAACCTCTGTTGCTACACCTAAAAACTTGATGATGTGCCTTGACCTCGCACAAACACACATCGTTAATCCAGTGGCCTCACGAATCCCCCCAATGACGAGCCGAGAGCACCAGTCGGTCTAGCAGACCCTCCACGCGCACCGCATGCGCATGCTCGAGAACCCGTCATCCCATTTTTAGGAGGGATCAACACATTGATCTTGCCAGACCTTACTACTATCGACGTCACCACAACACCAAATAGAGCCACCGCTCTACGCTCGTCCATCAAGTCGCATCCATCACCGAGACTCCAAAGCGCCATGTTGCCAAAACCACCCGTCGTCCATATTAATTGTGTTCATCAAAATTAATTGTCGCAGCTCTAATACTACAACTTAAGTACATCAATTCTATTGCTAGATCATCTTCCTGTGTAACTGTGTGGGGTTTCTAAAAAGGGAGTACCTAGAACTCATCTAGATGAGACGTAACTTGGTCTCATTCACCTGGAAAACAAGAACGGATACAACCCACGTCAACACACACGCATCTTATAGCACCACATCCAATGGCTATAAAAGGTGAATGAGACCAAATTAAATCTCATTTAGATGAGTTCTAGCAAAACTGTTCTAAAAAGGGATACAATTCTATTGCTAGATCGTCATCCATATCAAGTACACGTATCCCTCACTTTCTCTTAGCACATGAAAGATGCACATCTTTCGTGCATGTCAATGCAGGCCTACTACACAGGGGTAATTTCGTGGAGGCACGAGACCATATATGCTCTGTGATTCCCTGAGACATTAGTTTACCTAAAGGTGGATTAGGGCCGGCCGGCGAGCAAGCGGGGCATCTAGGGCTACGTGGTGCCCGCGCTTGCTTCCCTTTTACCGTCTAATCATCGACCGGTCGACAGAAAATTGGCATCAGTTGCTTTCGCAGCTTAAGATTACGCCCATGCGTGAGGGCATGCATGTCATTTCAGCAGGCACGTACTCCATAATTTACGATGTGGTTAAGGTCTAAAGTTGCGGCGGTTAAACCCCAACACCAGCAGGCCGGCCGGCAGCCTAACTTAATCTAACCGCACCTTTTCAACCGGTTAATTAGCAGCCCAAGTAGCTTAAACAAGCAACTACACTAGCTTCAGTTTTGTCTGTAGCGTTTCGAAGCCTGCCCTTGAAGTTTATTTGTTTACACAATGACATCAATTCTGCACAGTTGGTTAAACTTGATGATACCTCGACACGTCATTGCGGAAATGTTTTATTTGTAATACATTTCAATGAGATTGGGTAGTATGAAACATGAATATCTGGAGTAACAATATGGTAACTAAAACTGAAAATACACACGTATAATTCATTGTGTTTGATTAGTTTATAATTATAAAATATTTATTTAATATAAATACCATAACAGAATGAAAATTCGCATGCATGTTTGCATGTTTAGGTGTGCTTATCCGCATGCATGTGGCATGATGAGGTAACATACTTGTCTGGTGAGAGTAATCAGTCAGTGAGTGCTACTACCTCTGTCGTGGTTTATTGGTCCCTTTAGTATTTTGTATCAAACTTGGACAATAGATTTAATTAAGAAAATAATAATGCATGTCATGAAAAATTATATTGTTGGATTCGTATTTGAACATATTTTTCGATGATATTATTTTTTGTTACATGCATTAATATTTTGTTAGCTAAATCTACGGTCAAAACTTAGCATAAAATACGAAGGGGACCAATAAACCAGGACGAAGGTAGTAGCTATTTAGATATAGAAGATCACAAATTTAACTATTCGTCATCTCTCGTTTACTTTTTTCTTGGT